CGGCATTCCGGCCATACCAGAGGAAAGCATGCTACCAGAGCTAGGCATGCTTGGCGAACCCATTCCCTGAAAACCGGGCCTTGACAATGGTGTGCCCCTGCTTCCTCCCATGGCGTTTCCACCAGGCGGTACCATGCGGTGTCCACGGTCAGGTCTAGGAACAGCCCCAGCAGTTGGCAAGGTAGGCTGCTGCTGCGGGTTTCTGCCAGATAACATCTGATTATATTGGAGACGGTGTTGCTCCTCAAGTGGCAAAGATCCTCTAGGAACATTGAATCTACCATCCCTGAAAAAAATAATAAAGAACTATTATTCATAGAAGGAAGAAATCCAAATAAAAAACTTGAGCCAAGATGCACAAATGCAAGCAAATGACAAAATCACCCATCAGAGCTATACCTAATAGGAGCACTGGGTGGACCAGAAGTTGTTGACAAGTTATTACCAAGCATAGCTCCGGATCCAGATATGCACGGGTTTGCTCCAGAAGTTGGGAGACCTGACATTCCCTGGTTCAACACCGGCAAACCTGGATTTTCAAGGGTAAATACATCTTGTCCTGAAGTTGATGCATCACAAAGATCAAGGGGCCTTCATTCAAAGAGTAGCACGATATTAGAATAGAATCGCAGCAAGTAATATGTTGGAGATGAAATTCAAGAAACGTTACTTACGTGAGGACACTTCCATTCAGGTTATTTGGGAATACTTGAGATAGAGCCATAACTTGAGAATTGTGGACTGGTACTATCTGCTTAGGATCCCGGGTATTGTTCTTGGAGCGAGATGAAACGGAGTACACAGAAACAGAAACGAGAAAACAAAATCAGGGATCATAAGTTTCGAGCTATAATATATATGTCTTTCATACCCTAGTTAATGTTAGCAAAGATTTCAGTGCCATGTTAAGACATGCAACCTAGTTATTACAGATCAAAATAATGCAACATTTACTTTAGAAGAAATTCTGGCAAGAAAATGAAGTTTCCTAACTCCTAAAATTCAAAGTCCCAAGATAAGCATGCAAAAGCGTCAACTAGCTCAAGCCCAAAACACTTGCAAATTGAATTTTGTGTATCAGAAACAACAAAAGCACCCAGGATCCTCTCATGATGACAATTTGAACTACATCACCATCCATTATCTGTTGTTTGCTACATGGCATGCGACCAGATGAAGGTTATGACGTTTCCAATGATTAAGGCAGGTAAAAACACAGGAAACAGATACCATGCAATACGTCAACCAACCTGAGTTCCTCGACAGTGGAACTTCTTCCCAATCAAACAAATCTTCTCAAAATGGGATTTGAGGGTATCCTCCTCCATTGGCCCTTGCAAACGTTGGAACAACTGCCTCGCACTTCCCTGAATATAATGGCCATGTACATCAAATAAAGGTTAACTAAACATAGATGAAGCTTATACAAAGCTTCATTTTATTCAATGTTCCATAGTTATGGAAAACCTTTGGGATGCCAGGCAGTGTAGATGGGTAAGGCTGAGAAGTTCCCGAGTCTTCAACACTATCATCACCAGCATTCCTATCCATTAGATTCTTATGTCGTTCCTTGCATTCACTTGGATTGCGATGTATATACTGAAATGTTTAGAATGCAGAACAGAGAAACAAATCAATCAACAGAAACATGATTGATCACTATAATAGAAGCGACAGCTTGAACATAAGTGAGATTGACACAGTAACAGCCATAATCCTTGCTCGAAAGGTACAGAAAATGCACTCCCAAAGACGCAATCTAGAAAACAGGGTTTTGAGGCCATGTTCTACTGCATACTTGTCATGCTAAAGCGAGTTCAATTTTTTATAGCTTAATCAAGGAGATTATGCTCTCAACAACAAAGTAAAATAACAAACAGAAATAATACAAATCAAAATCAAGCCTATAATCTATAATTTATAGATCTACTGTGCCAGGCATGTTCAAAAGAAATAATCCCAACAAAGAAGAAATTAAAAACACACACACACAGTGCCTTACCTTAATTTTGAGATTGCTGTTCATTGCATCACTTATGAGCTCCCAGTTAGGGCCCATATCATGCACCAGAACAACAAGCACCTAGGAGGCAAATAAAAAGAAATCAGCTATCTCAAAGCAACACAGAGGAAAGATATAGACCAGTAACAAATAAAAACCTGATCTTCAAATAGTGACCATGGATTTCCAGAACATTGTTGACCAGAAGAAATCTGCAGATATTATATTTCAAAACTTTAAAATGATAGATAACCCAAGGGAAGCTAGACGACCAATGCACTAGGAAGTCTCAAACACACACACACAATAACAATAATATACCTTCAGGCCTTTTATTTTTCTGCCCCTCTCACGACCTCCAATCAATTTAATAAATTTGTTGGGGTTGGACATATTGCTCATCTGTGATCCTACAGGAGATGGAATCGATCCAATAACAGGAGTAGAACTGTCAAAATTATTCCCGGCCGAATGCTTCGCTATCTTCTGCTTCTTTGCACCATGCGGCCCATACAGACCTTATACAATACAATTTAAAAATGTTATGACATTTATATACATGTATATGCATTCTCATAGAAAAGTAGCATCATGGCTCTGATATCAATTGATACAATTTGGGCCCTAACTCCACCACAAAAGCTAGCTTAAGAGTGGAGGTTTGGCCCTCCTTATATATTGGCCCCAAATCCCTCTCTCCCACCGATGTGGGACTCTTATCACATCATTAGAACACTGACAGAGCACCAGTGCCATGTAATTTCCAGTAATAGTTCGTTATTTTCTAATTACAAATTACTCTAGGTCTAGGGTTTAATAATTCCAGATAATCATCATATAGTTTATTAATTCACCGCAAAGATTGCTCTTGAAAGCATCGTAGATTCTGTAGAAGCAGCTTCTAGAGCAAATAATAACCTCAGTTTAATTTATACGGGAAAGTGAAGCTTCTGTTTTCCCCACTTCGACCAGACCACTAAAGAACCACATTAAGCAGACATGCATCAAAGGCACAAAAATGGGCTATCAAAATGGTACCGTTCATATCAAAATGGTTAGCCTCTGGTCGCTTCTTCCAGTGATCCTTCTGTCAAAAAAGCGAGGAGGAATTAGGTTCCTCTCCAGAAAGTCAACTACCCCTTTTGGAGTACGTATAATAACTATAACAAAGTACAAAATTCCATAAAACTTCTTGTGCCCAGAAAAAACAAGCAGTAAAAATCATCACCCATCCAGATATTTAAGAAACAAAAAGGGGGGACGCCAAGTATTTCAATTCCAACAGCAGCTAACTCTAGGCTGCAGTTCTAGAATGTAGCATAATTGACACTTTAATAAGCTTTTGTTAACATTAATTACAACACACCATATTTGGGCATACTTTCAAAAGACACTTGTAGATATCGAATCTTAAGACCATTTTAGCAAACTACCTGTTCACCATGGACTGTTGAATCAAGATGCCAAGCCTGGTCATATCCAGAACCCTGCAACAAAAGGAAAGTGAAAATTATAAAACAGAACTGTTCATGAATAATATTCCAGAAAATGTGAGTCACATACTACTAGATGAGCCTTCTTCTTCTTTTTAGATTTTCCAAAAGTTTCAGCCAAGTCATAAGGTAACCGCCTCTCAAAGTTCCCAGTTGATTCAACTTCTGTGCCTTTCTGAACACCAGATCCACCATGCAAACTACTTTGCTCATCCTGAAAAGAATCAGTGTCGCCACTAGAAGCATCTGTCTTCGAGGGCACTGGTAAATTTCCAGCTGTAGCACCGCCAAAAGGGCTAATTATCCTCTGCCTGGAAGCAGTGCGCATGCGCTTTGTCGGTACTGAACCAACATTTATATTACTGGCAGGCCTTTTCCCCATCAATGTTGGTTGATTGGATGCACCTGTGTAGCTGCCACATGGTAAATCAGCTCCAATATCATATGACTTCAACAAGTTCTTCCTCTTCTTGCGGCTTAAATTAGATGATTGAATACATTCAAAAGCTCCAGGCAGATAATAAGTGCTTGTTTCTCCTTCATCGTCGTCATAAACAATGGCATTGTATCCTGTATCTACAGTTCAAGACTAAATATCAGTAAACGTTTGCAATCATGCATAGCATTAACAACAAATATATCATGTATACCTCCTGCGGCATCATAATCAGAAGTCTCAACCTCCTCCTGTATGCTACTTCTAGATTTCTAGGGAAAAAGAGGAGAATGCGGTTAAATACACTCAGAAACTCACACATGCATATAAGAAAGACACTCAAAAATATGTAAGCAATCAAGTCAACACATGAGAACTTCTAGCACCACAAAATATTTCCCATACCCCATATCGTGTGAGATGAGATTCAATAGACTTTCGGTAAGCCTCCATTGCACCAGGGGGGACTGAATAAAAGAGGCTTTCCTGCACAGAAAAAAGCATGGTGAACGGAGTCGAAATGTGATAGCTATCAACAACAGAAAATCAACGTCTGAGATGCAGCACTGCCAAATGATGTTTGATCTAGGTCAAATGATCGATATAGATTTTTCTCTGTCGAATGACATCATTCCACATAGATTTCCTGCAGCATCATTAAACCGAGAGGCTGCCAAGAAAGAAAAGAAATATCTTCCGTACTTCTGTAAGCTGATCATCCCAAGATGTTTCCAAAATGCCCGGGTCACGCAAATTGTCAGGAGTCGATGGTGGTGGTGCTTGTAGAGGGGGGACAGAAGAATTGTTATACTTCAAAAATCTCCGCGCATATTCTATGACACCAGCAGCTGAACATTTTCCATGGCTCTCACACCCCAACTCTGTGCTACTCTCCTGTATATGGTAACAGCATTACTTGAAAGGACACCAGAAAAGAATTCTAAGAATGAAACAAAAACAAGTAACAAGACAAAAGAAAGCCCCAAGTGCTAAATATGTTGAATTGGTGCAACTGGAAAGATGCAGCATGTCAATCTTAGGAGGGAGCAGTCCACAGAATCGTATCTCAGCCTACTCCAACCCATCACAAACTTAAAATACACAGTTCCAGGACCTCACAGAGCTGTAAATTCTTCAAACAGAATATGTGTGTGCGTGTGTGCGTGTCAATCAAAAGATGAGAAAATGGGGGAAAAGGAAGGGAACCACATTATTGTCACTGTCATCTAAAAGCCACAACAGGCTCTTCAGAGACAACTCAATCAATACCTTATCAGTAGTTCCTTTGGCATCAACTTTGGCATCAATCAAACTTGTTTCCTCAATCTCCTCCCCAGGCAGCTCAACAGAACTCCAGAACAACAGGATTGCATTACCTAGGGTAGAAGCTAACGTTTTTAGCTTCCCATGCTGAATTCTTTGCTCAGATATCAGTTGAGAAGTAAAGGCAATTTGATGGCAGATTTGGGAAGCAACAGTCATCTTCCAAAGGCGCTCCTAGAAAAAGAAGTAAAGAGAAAGAGAGGTTGAGCAAAGATTCAAATTTGTTCACTCAATAAATATACGTAGTAAGTGAAAAGCTATCATACTCAGTGATGGGACTTACAGTAGGTAACGTGACAGCACAATAATTCAAAAAATTGGAGCATGTTTAATTTAACATTAAATAAATTCAGAACCCAAAGTTAAGCAGCTGAACCACACCTGCGCAAAATCATTTGCCAGCCATGTCATTTCTTCAAGGACGAAATCCCACTGAGATTTCATATGGACCTCCACTGGTACTGTACTGAAAGATAACTCAGCAACTTTCTTTCTCTTTGCCTGGTAATTTGTTATGTCAGACATAAAACTCTGAAACAAACAAAGAATACAAACTTTTTCCAAGCTCGAGAAATTAAGATTGTCAGGCGCAGTTAAAAAAAGACAACCTTTATAACGCGTGCCTCCTCGAGTATCGAATCCTCCTTCATGGTATCTACCAGAATAGAGCCACCTTCTGGATCAGTTTGTCTTTTTGATGCTACAATATCAACTCCTGAAACTACATTCTTATTAACTACACCAGAGCTGATTTCTGCTGATGCCTGAGGCTTTCCAGGGTAAAAATGGTTGCTAGATTTGTCAGCTAAACCATCACCGACTTTCCTATCATCTCCAGATACAGCCAAATCAACTTCTTGTTTTCTTTCTGCTTCAGAAGAGCATTTCTCTTCATTTTGCAATTCAGATGTACTTCTCTGGCTTTGAATTTCGGTTTTGACCAATTTTGTCTGGTTTTCATCTACATAAGTCCTCACGTTAACACCGGCAATAGTGCCACAAACCTCATTCTCATTCTTTGTATTCACCATTTCACTGCCATTATTATTTAGTAACCCCTCTACTCTTAAAGTCCGCTGCATACAGATTCCATTGATGTCAGCTTTGTCTACTCCATGGAGATCCTTCTCATTATCTACGTCTACACCTACATTGTTAGCATGAGAAGATTCTGAATCTAACCCTTCTGACCTTGCAGTTGCAGTATTTGCTAAGCTTTTTTTCTCTCCTTTAAAATCTACAAGGCCATTCAATTGGGTAGGCATAATTTCTTGCCCAGCTATTGCTGCAGCTTCGTGAGCCTGGATTTCTGTACTAGCAGGAACCGCCTGAGCCTTCTCCCCAGCAAGTTCAGCCTCTCCACATGCCACAACAGAAGAATTTTTCCTTAATGTAACATCTGCCTCTTCTTTCAGCGGGCTACTTCTTGTGCTAACACTCATCTCTCGACCAACTAATAGATCCTCTGCCTCAGAGTTTAATAGATTATTGGAAACTAAACTTTTCGAATTGATATTACCATTTGAAGTCGCAGAGCTTGGACAAGACATAGAAGTTATATGCCTATTCTTCTGGTTAGCCGTTTGAGGTGTGCTACTCTTTCCATCCACTGATCCTCTACGAATTGAGAGAGACGTCACAAGACCACCACGACTCTGAGCTAACTCTGTCGAATTTGGTCGTGCTGAATCCCGATTTATCTTTGATCTATTCCTACGAGCATATGGACGAAAAATGGCAGAATCTTCTGTTTCTTTGACATTCTGGTTGGTGTTCTCTTGGGAGCACCTCACTGATTCAGCTTTGTTTCTCTTATTAAAACTTCTCGAATTTGTCTCTCTTTCAAGTAACTCTTTTTCCCCGTCAAATAGTAAAAGATTATCAGCTGTATTAGGTTCTGAAACTGTAGGAACTCCAGGTCTACCACCACTCTCCACAGAATCTCCATGTGGTGAGGCAGTCAGGGCAAAACTATCTTTGACTTCACTGTGGCGAAGATGGGTAAACAAAATCATGAGCTAATCCATGAAATCAAAACAATAAATTACAACAAACAAGAAAGTACCTGTTTACTAATTGATCTGCCTGCTGATCGGTGGATGACGGCGATTGGACGCTATGTGAAGTTGTATTACCAAATTTGAAATCCAAGGGATTGCCACCCTAAAGTAGAGAGAATAGTAAATTCCAGTCATAATTCGTACTTGAAACGGAAAGGAAAAGAGAAATCAGTCTTCATACTTTCTCTAAAAACTCCAATTCCCTTCTCCTTTCTTCGCGAACATCATACTCTTGCCTGTTGAAACAAGTATTTTCATTAGCCATTAGATATAATTGTATAACAGATTTGTACAAGGTAAAAGATATGCCTTGAAAGGAAATAAAAAGGAAAAAACGCAATCCTGTTTTACCTTAGCTCTGCTTGAGCCTTCTCGAATGCTGCTTGACGTGGAGATGTTTTGACCCCAATACCACCTCCACTGTCAATAACTCCTCCCATGAAATCAACTTCAGCATTTACTATGACAAATCCTAAAATGCTTCCATGCATCTCCACCTTAGCACAAATGAGTCCGCCCGTCCCATTAATTCAAATCCTGGCATTAATCTAGGACAAGTTAAGAAGTATTTTCAGTGTTCACAGGATTTTGAATAACAGTACTGCAGAAGACAGATTCCAATAATTGTTTAGTGTTGACCTGCACAAAACAATAGATATCGAAACATAAGCCTACACATGCATATGTTTATCAGATCAAATCTTTTTTCCCTCCAGTAAGTCAAATCAACTCCATTTAACAACAGTTTAGTAGTAGCTAAGTTTTGATTCCAGATAAACCCTTCATGAGATGTCAGAGCTAGACAGAGTTCAGTCACACGCCCGAGTGAGTCGCTAAAAATAACAAAAAGAGAAAATTGGTAAGTCAAGTCAAGAGATTCTAGTATTTGTTTTCCATCTAATGCTAGTTTCTATCGTGATCTTCCTTGTACCCTATGAAAATTAGCATAACTTGACAAGGGCTAGAAAAAACAAAAGTAGAACTGAGCCAGACTATACATGCCAGCATAAGCAATCACTTCTCCGCACTAAATTTAAACTCGAGCCCAGTTGTAGAAAGAACACCAAGATACGATCACAATGTAGCATGACGATAGGAAATTTCTCTGCTAAAATAAAAAAAGAATCCAACATAAGTATACACTACAGGCAACGGAAATTGAAAATGATAAGCTGGGTGACTAAGAAGGCGTGCCCACGAACTTTGACGTCGAGTGAGCCCATTTCAGAGCTAAACGAGTAAAAAACAGGGCATTGCAGAGAAGAATTCTCGACATTCCATCAAAAGTCATGAACAGAAGAGCAGAAACAATGAATCCGCCCAAAAACTAAACCCAAAACTCCACGAGCCATCCCGAATCCGCATGACCTCGAGCAAAGTTGGACTTTAGGGTTTGTGAAGAAGAGCAAATGAGAAGAGAATCGAGCACGAGTACCTGAGTCGGACGTGGAATGAGGAGAATGCAAGCCTAGGGCACAAAACTCAGACAAGCTTACAACCTAATTCGTGTGTTTTTTTCTCTCTCCTAGGGTTTCGGACAATGAAACCACAGACTCTCCCCACAACCCTCTCGAAAAGCTCCAAAAAATTCACGACGACAGAACCAGTTCCAGACGGAAACAAGACGCTCCCGTGTAAACAGAATCCATGAATCCTCCCGGCCAGACTCCTAACTCAGCAATTCCTCCATGGAAATTTCTTTCAATTTATGTTTCCCTCTCGGAGGAGGAAAACAAAATCGCTCTCGTGTCGTTTTTTTTTCTTTCTCCCTCTCTCTCTCTTCGACGCACTATGCGACACTCTCTCTCTCTCTCTGAGAGAGTGGGCCTGGTTCGGCTTGCTTCAATGTAGACGACGACACCGGAAGATGAATGAGGCCTCCGGTCATCGTTGGGCCTTTTATGATTTTTATCATTTTATTTATGTAAATTTGCATGTCCGTACATGCCGCTCGAAGATTTTGTCCCGTTGGAAATCAGAATTCCAACATATCCCCAAAGATTAATTTAAATCTAAAAATTCAGATATTTCGGACAATCTGTATTAAGAAAAATTACTTGGGCCAACAATATAAAAAAAAAAATTCGTTAGTTGTAAGAAAGGTTGAAATTTGATTTTAAGATAACTCGATCATTTAAATCCTTTACCATTTTGGTTATACGGATTTTATGTAGCCATGTCTGTTTTATGATAAGATTTGTACCTCTCTTGATCAAACTCTATTTCTTTGATTACATAGAGACACTCTATTTCTTTCATTGTATAGAGATGTAGCATGAGTAAAAAATAGATATCTATATGAATAAAATCTTATTTTAAAATTAACTAGATATATTTTTTATAAACTAACATGATTGAAGAAAACAATAATATATTAAAATAAATATTTTTTTGGAGTAAAAGCCGAAAAACTTTTATGTAGTATTTAAACCAAAGGGTGGAGACTGATCAACAAATCCAAACTCCTAAATAAGCCTTGCCCTCCGATGGTTTAGGGCCTTAAGTTAACACGTATTCAAATCATACATATAATCAAACACAATGCCGTTTACTATTGAATTCAAGCACGTGCAAGAGAAGAAGAAGAAGAAATCAGAGCCTAGCTTTTCTTATTATCGATCAAATGAAATCGGGATCAGGACTCGAGTACAAAATACAAAGAAGAAAAGAGAGAACAAATCTGAAACACAATAGAAATTTCACAAAATACACTCGTGAGACATTTCATATTCTCTAATACCATCCATGACATTAGATATTATTGAAACACACCGATAATGTCGAAAACATCGACCACCATCAAATAATTATGATTTCTTTTCAACCGGATCAATTAAAAAATAACCGAAAAAAGAGAAAATTTATTTGAAAGATTCACTACTTTATCAACAAAAACTGAACCCGCATCAGAACCGAACCAAATTCAATATAAGATTGAACGACTAAAATAACCGAATCCGACGGAATCTTGAAAGGACCACCCCTAATACCGAGGACGACACTTCTTGTTCTTGAGAGTGTATGTAATACGCGGGTATCGTACACAGAACACGTGTGAGACGCAGCGAGAGAGAGAAAAGGGTTCCATTCCATCTCGAATCAGACACAGAACCAAGCAGTCAAGAAGCCACAACGTCAAATGACAAAGACAAGATTCACACGGTCTCTTAGAACGTGACAAGCAACATACATGACTACTCGATGCAATTAGACATCCCCTGATGAGACAGAAGTGCTTCCAACATTAACCAATTAATAATATCTACCCCTCCTCAATCTTCTTCCCATCACCCCTAATGTGTTATCACCAACAGTTTATAGTTTATATCTCAGTCATTTCGTTTCTTGATTTTACCTCCACCGCCGCCGCCGCCGCCACTGTTACCCCGAGCCGCCGCCTTTCTCGCCGCCTTCTCCTGCAATGCTTTGGCGTCCCTACATTTCCAAATCCGAAAATAAAAAACAGAACAAAATCCAACAGAACAATCACACAGTATACAATGTCAAGACAAATTCTCACAACTTTCTTCCAAAACATATAACACTGGACCAAAAACTAGGGGTGGACGTTTTGGGTTTCGGTTCGGTATACGTAGGGTTTAGTTCAACAATTGTTTATTCGATTCTACAAAAAATTACCAAACTAGAACTTAATTTTAATCGGTACGGTTCGGCTTTAGGGTTGGTTTGGTTTGAAACAGTTTTGTTATATGAATATTGAGTACCAAAGAATAACCAAAACTTCATTTTTACACACATTCAAACTTAAGGTGGATAATTCGGGTTTTCGTTCGATACTTATCGGGCACTGTTCGATATCAGTTCAGTTTGAAAACAGTTTATTCGGTCCTACAAGAATTGTACCAAATAGCATTCAGTTCGTTTCAGTTCGATTTCGATTCATACCGGGTTTGTAACCAAATTCCCGAATCGAAACACCCACCCCAACAGAAAACGCATCGTCAAGAAAGATTTTTCAATAGCTGTAGATTCGACATGTAATCTCTAACACTAACACACCAGAAACAAATCCCCAGAGATCATTGAGTTAGCCAATTTTGAAAGTCTTCTGATAAAGAGTGTACTTGTATCAGCTTCATACAGAACATAAACAAGCGGATTAAAATCTGCAGAAACTACCGTTCACGACGTTGCTCGGGAGTTAATCCATCACTCTTAGGCTGCTTAGATTTGTGATTGTTTCTAGCTTGAGCTCTTTCACGATCACGCTCCCTCTGGTTTCCGCGTTCGCTTCAATTAAAGCCAAACAAATATCACAAGACAACAACAAACTAATTTCTCCTACTCATCCCCTTCGATTCCCGAGAAACCCCAGTATTTTCCGCGAAAACATCAAAAAAAGGAAATACACAAAATATGAACCAAAATGAACAGATCCACGAAGGATATGTGTCATTGTCGGTGCACAAACACAGAGATCCCTGGAAATTTCCACAGGAAAATCCACGAAACAAAATACAAAATCAATTTTGCGTGCGATTTCAAATCTATAAACACATTACGAAAGGAGATCTAACAGAGCAAGAAGAAACATGAAGATGAATGGGAATCGGAATCGGACGGAAATTTTTACCTGGGAAAACGAGAGAATCGCAGTGCAGATTTGGAAAACCCGAAAGCTTAAGTTTGAAGAACACGAGAAAGGTCTGATATAGGCGTCGAAGGTTGGTGGGGGCGAAACAAACGAGTCAGCCCCAGTGGAAGAGTCGAGAAGCCGCACAGATTCCCTTACTGCCTGTCCCTCGAATAATATAATTACATTTAATTAATTAATTAATAATTATAGACCGTTGGCTCCAACCCCTTTCGAAATATTTTTCACATACATCCCCAAAGTATACCATAATTGACAGAACAACCCCTTGATTTTGATTTTAATCAATTTACGCTACCAAACATGGAATTATGGAATGATGATGGCAGGTTTTTCTATACAATGCAATTAGGTTATCAATTTTTAAAACTTTCACAAATAATTACGAAGTATTTCGAATGTAAATAAAAAATAAAAAATTTATGAAATCTTTCAAAATTATAACTCGCTCCCTAACTACGTTAACAAATCGACTAAAGACCTCATTATCGTTATCGTGACAACCAATAAATATAATTAGAACACTGCGTTATCCATATCGCTCCATCAAACTTTAAAAAAAAATTACAAAACATATATATAGATAACGTATACACAATTATATACATATACATACATCCATAAATACACGTATATATATATTATATAAATAATATTTTATTCATTTTTTATTTTAATATATTCCATTAATTTAATTTTTAAAATACACAATTTTTATATTGCATCATACTAATATATTACTATATTATTTGGCTTGTTTTTCACCGAAACGAGATGTGCTACCCTAATTTTAGCAAACGGATAAACATCGTTTGGATTTATGATCATAATTTATTTCTATTTCTATAGTATATATATATATATATATATGATACAACTCTTAGAATGATCATACAAATCACTCCTAACTAATCCAACTCGACCCGTGATAGGTTGAGCGTTGGTGCATTGGATCGGGTCCAATCCATTGACTCTATAATGGATTAGAATCCACATATGAAATCCATCAAATCATTAATATAATGGTACATCCACTGTTCATATATATATATATATACACGCACATATATTCGATGAACCAACATCTATATGCTATTCGTTAATTCGATGTAGGAGATGATTGGTGATACTATCCATTTGATATGAAAAAATAATAAATAACTATAGTTGAATTTGATATGAAAATTGATCGGATAAAACTGAATTTTTCCAAATATAATATTGTTGTATAAAATGAAATAAATAAATTTTAAAAATAAAAAAAAAAATGCAAAAAACATATGAACAAAAAAAAAACTAACCAACTTAGTCGTGATTGTAATATCTTTTATATATAAAAGTAGAGTTTTTCCTACGGGTCTAACACGTGTCTTTTTTTTTGAGAATATGAAAGAGTGCATTTTAATTTTTTCACAAGAGTTAAGTAATTCTCAATTAAAAAATAAAGATGATCGGTCAAATGAGTAATTAATTCACATTTAAAAATAGAGAGGTTAAGATTCGAATGTTTAATTTATGGTTCATTAACCACAAAGCCCGAAGAGCCAAGTGGAAAGTCATGAACTAAGCATTAAGTGTTTTATCTGTGGCATATATATTTGAGTAGATGATTACCATCGAAGGAATGCATAATACGAATCAAAAGAAAAAAGAAGAAAAAATTGAAGAGAATATGACAACCGAAAACTTTAGCAAAAAAAGAAAAAGATAGGGAGGCTCACAACATAAGCCACAACGAAGAAAGGGGTTACCCAGGTAAGGTTTTATAATTTTGTGCTGTTCATTGTTCATTCTTTTTTTTTTTATTATGTTTTTTAGATTTTCTGTAAGAATTAGTTTATTTTTGTGAAATTTTTATTTAACATGAATACTGATACGATTATTTTGTATATATATATTTTTATGACGTGGAAAAGCACTCTTTATGAACTAATATATATATATATATATATATATATATATATATATATATATAATACGATAATTCATTGAAGATATGAGCGGCTCATGAGAGTACATGTTACATATTCTGTATGAAGATGGCAGAGAGAAGGGCAAAGAGACAACACATGTGTCCGTGCCAAGAATTATCATTAAATACTCTATTTATTAAATAAACACGAAAACGTTAAAACAAAAAAGTTAATGAAAACATAGAATTTAACCAGTTTACATTCGGTCGTAAATTTGAAAAGTTATACAAATTTAGGTAGAGAAATCAGTATAGAGAATCGATTAATGATACCGGTTTAAATTTTTATATTTGACCAGTTTCATTGTAATATTCGTTTACTTTACCGGAATGATAAACAAATGGTCTAATAAAAAATTATGTTGTAGTCATTCATTTACGCAGAAAATATTTGAGTATTCATTTTTTATTCGACCATATAATTTATATTAACATCTTAATATATTTGTCCATTTTATTTTATTTTTATTTAGTTTTCTTATAAAAATAATTGACCTTCTTAAATAAAATTATTTTTAAAATAGTTATTTTTTTCTAATATAATATCAATAAGGTAAGTTTTTCTGTTATTTATTATTTGGAGAATCAAAGTGTTTATAATATTAACAACAAATATATACCAAATTAAAAATAAATACATGAATTCAATTGTATAACTATTAATGTTTTATTTTTGGACAAATATCGTCAGGATATGATAAATAGTTTTTCTACTGATATTTACGTTAACTCTTATGAATTTGAAATTGGTCTAACGAAAACTATAGAAACTATTAAAGTTTTAATTGGATGTAATGTGAAATATGAGTTTGGTGGGGAAGGCTCCGCTAATTGTCATTGGATTTTTATTTTGAAGATTCTTCAGAGACTTATCGAATTGAGTCTTGAAATATATAATTCGAGTAAAAAGTCATCCGAGACGAGTCCTAATATTGGCAATCTGAGTTTGGTAAGTAACATTTTATATGAACCTCCAACTTTTATCATGAATGTTTGTACGAGACGATGATAGACCTTTGACATATGAGAACTAATTCAATTCCTTCATCACATAATAGAAAATCTTAGGATGAGTAGTGCACAATCTAATAAAACAAATTGGGATGATAAGAACAATAAGAATCAAATTTAATAAAATATAAGTCAAAGTAAATGAAAAACTAAACTAAATGATATTTCAACTCATATTTATTTAAATTAAATGTGAATCGATTTTATACGGGTTGTTGAATTATTATTATTATTATTATTATTGTGATAATATATATATACATGTAGCACACAAATATGAAATAATCATAGTTTTAATATTTTAAAAAAATGACCAAATCTTAGTTTAGGAAAACATAATATAATGACCGAAATAACCGAACCCGAAATAACTGTAAAACGATATATTATTTTGGGTTCGGTTATTTCGGATTTGAGATATTCATATCCAATATGATATGTTATTTTAATCAGTTCGAATATATATCGGTTGGATTGGGTTTAGACAAATTTTTTATCGTATTTTTTTGGCGTTTGCGTTTAGGGATTTATTTGATAGAATGTATAAAGTACATGTATATTTTAGCGAATAAGTATAAATGTAGTGATTCATGGAGATGATTGAAACTCAAGCTGAGGGCTATCGGTAAATTCCTCATCTGACCAATCTCTTGAGCTAAGGAAGCTCGATAAGTTGGTTTATTTATACGTCTCTAATAACTTGCTCATGGGTTCCAGAACACATTTGCTCAAAGGCATGTTAAGCTTGATCGAGGTTAATTTCTGTATTAACCTCTTAGATGGTCAAGTTCCAATCTTTGTTTCATTCCAAAAGTCTCTAAACTCAAGCCTTTTTGGAAATAGATTGCGTTGCGGGGGACTATTGAGCACTTTATATAGATATCCTGATGGTCTTGAACACTTGAAATATAATCAAAAGATTTCATAAAGGACGATACTGATTGTAATAGGTTTTATCATGGTTGTATTTGTATCAGTTATTGTAGTGGTTCTGCTCTTCATGATGAGGGAGAAATAAGAAAAAGCAAAGGCTTCGATGTTGTGACAAATCTCGAGGATAACTAACCGATAATCATGGAAGAAAACGTTCTTCATCAAGAATATTGAACATGAGTTCGATCTAAATGCAATTGTGAAAGCAGCTATGAAGGAATCAAACAAACTCAACACGAGAACTTTAATTTCAATCTACATAGTTATTATTGGGTTTTTGTTTTAAGATCTTTTAGAGATTTATTAGATTGTGTTTTGACGGACATATTCTAAATGAAATATCAGTAAGATCAGACCATCATAGTTTAGATGTGGTTAGTGTCACTTTCTTTAAGTACTTTACTTTTGTTGATATAGCGATCGTAATTTAAAAAATTCTGAACTATAAAATGGTGATAATGTGTTCACGGTGTCCAATCAACCTATTTTCTTCATCTTTTTTTATTTTACAATATGAAATTTTTTTTATTCTTCTTTTTAAACGTTAAAATATTAATATTTCATTTTTTAAAAAACGTCTTTATAAAAATATTATTCTAACCCTTAATATTTTTCTAATAACCGGGTATCCTAGACCGAGTTCAAACTAATTTCGGATCCGGGAGCAAGTCATGTGATTAGAATATGCGCTCTCCTCCCCAATTTGATCTCAAAGTCGAGGTCAGACAGACACTTTGCATCTTTTTCACCGGTTGAGTTTTCTAAATTAGGTTCTGACCTTTAATTTTATATTATTACACACGAAAATATAAATATACATGTTATTCGCAATCATTTTTTGAAAATAAAAGATATTGTTATCTCAATATTATTAAAAATTATTTATCATTTTGATTTAAGATATGTATTATAAATTTAAAAGTAAAATATAATATATTTAATTTTAAAACTAATAATATTTTTTTAAATAATTTATACGATTTGCGCGGGTTAAAACTTAGTTTTTCGTAATAGGGCAGAATAAAATAAAATAAAATAAAAGGGGAAGGAAGAACAGAGAGGACCGGCTCTTGTCCTCACCATATCCTTAATTGTAGCAATAAAGAGTTCGTGACGTGTGGACCCTGTCCCATAACACCCCTTTGTGGTAATGATACAATATCATTGCCACCACATGTGTTAGGTCATGTATCTTTTAAAATTATTATTACCACGATAATAATTACAAATAGTTTTTTTTTTTGGGATACCGGATATATCCGAATATTCAAGTTATGTTCTTAGACCCAAAAATTTCAAATTTAAAATTTCAATATCAAGTATACCCGAATATTAAATTATTTTAGACGCTTAATTTTTGTATCCTTTTTTATATATAAATACGGAATCTAGTGTTTTCATGGGATGATATTCATATATCATACGTTAACACGGTTAATGATTTGTTTGGTTATTTAAATTACAACAATAAACGTCACATTGTCGATGTCGGATATATTTTATTCAAGTAGGGGATTAGTTTGTAACGAAGAAGTTAAACCCACCATCAGTTGTTCACCAATCATACTTTTATGCATATATATATATATATATATTATGTAATATTTAAATGAACTTTACGTTGTTAATTCAATATTTAAATAATATTAAATGCCTTATTGTATAATTGTGACAATACCTTCTTTCTAACCTCTCGTTCCACACTAAAATAAATCATACAAAATAATATACAATTATGCTTAAACGACTTCCGCTACAAAGTTATGTGAACATACTAATTTATAAATAAAATTAATAAAATTAAATAAAAAATAGTGAAAAAATCAAACCGTGTATCTTTTTTAGGCGTATGTGTGTGTGTGTGTATATATATATATATATATTAATTTTAATAAAAATGAATTCAAATCTATTCGGAAGCGAAGTCAAACTATATTAAAATAATATACAAAAAATATATAATTTTCTAAAATCGAATTGAGAAAATACTAGTAATAGAAATATGAAATCCGTAATAGAGAGAAACATTTTGGGGGGTAATATATCAATTTTTGGCGTGCAGAGTCAACTAACTTGTCCTAAAGAAATACACTAAAGATAGAGAAGACAACACGTGTGACCAAGTCGTGTTTTCCATCGATAAAATATTGATACTTGGAAAACCCATAAATAATAATTGGTTATTTATTCAACCAAAAAAAATAATAATGGCTATTTAACGTAGTAACAAAAAAAATCTTATTTAACCGATCATTTCCATCAGGGGTGGTCAATTCGGTTCGGTTCGGGTTCGGTTCGGTTATATTCGGGTTCGGTTATTTCGGTTATAGAAAAATTATAACCATTCGGTTTTTATATAAATTTCGGTTCGGTTATTTTTCGGTTCGGTTTTGGTAAAAAGTTCAATTTTCCAAAGAAAATATCGGTTATTCTCTCGGTTTTTTTGGTTATTTTTTATTCGGTTCGGTTCGGTTTCGATTTCGGTTTTTCGGATTTAAGAAAATCATAACCGTTCGGTTTTGATGTCGAGTTCGGTTCGGATACAGTTATATCTTATTCGATTCTGTTCGGCTCGGTTATTCGGTTAATAACCGAAATATCCACCCCTAATTTCCACTATTGTTTTGAGTTTCCCATCAATTCCAATTACTTATCCATTTTGTTAAAAGAATGCGAAGTGACGCTGCTGACTTACGGCATATGGAGATTGAAAAATAAACTCCTTAATTTCGGTTTGAAGTGTTATGCAAGTGCATAAAAATTGGGAATATATCACCAACACAAACACGAGAACTAATTCTAAAATCCATAACTAAAAAATATTGAATTCGAGATCAAATAACCCATGTCAAATGGTTTATTAAATTATCGACTTAGTTTTGGTTTGATTATATTGGGGTTCAATTATTTTAATTTTAAAAAAAATATAATCATTCCGTTTTTATATTGAATTCGATTGGATTTTATTCCATTTTATTTGCTTCAAATTCGAATTTTTATTAATAAAAATAGTAATTTTTTAAAAAAAATTCATCACCATCAAATCAATTTTATTATTCCATTACTAACCAAATAAAATACCTGTCGGGGCGAAATATCAAATTAATAACAAAACGCGGGGGTAAAAATGTAATTTAAGACAAGGAGGGTGTATTGATAATAAATCACACACACCTATCGTCGTCCTTCGTCGCCCTCTCCTCTGCTCAAATCTCTCTCTTTGTTCTGAAAAAGAGAAAGTGAAAGGCGAAACCAAAAACAGAGAAAGCTCAATCAATGTAAAGAAAGCTATCATCTTTTCCTTTCTCTCTCTCTCTCTCTTTTTGACCCATCATATAGTATAATCTACACCCATGAATTATATATATATATATATATATATATATATATATTTCTGTGTATTATATATGTATAGAACAAAAAGATGAATCATTGCGGAATTTTATTTGTCGGGCATTGTTAAAGAAATGCAAATTCTCTCTCTTTTGTCAGATTCGAATAGTTAAAAGCATCTGTGAGAGATTAAAGTATATTTATATCATTGCAGATCTACCCTCGAATCGCGGAATCTGCTGCAACAGAAGCTGTGTGGAGCAGACGCAAGGTATCCGATGATGCTTCCTATATGAATCTTAGATCTGTTCATTCACCCTTTTTCTCCGAGAAAATTTGGAAGTTTCTCGAGAAAGTGCGTTTTCTTCTTCTTCTTATCCGAGTTGGGATGAAAGATTCCTGTTTTTCCAGCTGACGAAATCGCTTGTGGGAGTTTTTTTTTCTTTTTAATGTTCAGCCGCGGACTGGGAAAATGAAAATTTTCTCGGGAAAATTGGGTTTATCGATGAGGTCTCGAAGCTGATTTTTCTTCTTCTGTCTCGGTTTCCGAGAAATCTGAGCTGCGGAAGCTGAAATCCTAAGTTTCTCACTCCTCGATTTTCCCGAGAAAATCCTTCTAACTTTGTCTTGGTTTGCGGGTTCACAGTTTTTTTTCTCCTCCCCAAAATGACAAAACTCCAGTTTCTTGTTTCCAGCTTCCATTTCCCCTGTTGCTTGGATCTTTGTTCATCCACCATGATTCAAATGGACGGTGGCGATAGGATTAGGGTGACGTTGTTGGATCAGTTATCGACGGTGGAGAGTCGCCGGAGCTTGACACTTGAAGCTGTCCTCAGAGCCGACAAGAGGGCGACGCCGCCGCCACCGCCACCGCCGACGTCGTCTCCTCCTTCTCCGCCGCCGCCTGAAACGACGGCGGGGAACCACGCGAATCGGACCCTTCTCGACGTAATGCGCGACGAGAACCGCAACGGCCACGGCCATGGCCGGGACAAGACGGCGTGGAAGTCTCTCCGGGAAAAGCTCCGGCTAAAGCGCAGTAGTGCCGCTGTATGTACATCAACATCGCCGAGTCGTCTTATCCCGACCTCGGATACATCTATCCCAAGAGAGGATAACCTTATTCCGGATGACAACCGGTTCAACCCGCTCGGTTTACTCCTCTTGTCTAACTCGGAAGGGCAATCATCGCATTCCCAAACCGACCAGCTCACCAACCAAATGAGCAACAGTGCTGACGTCAGCCATGGCGACGGCCCGACCACGGCGGTGGAGCGAGAGGGGGGGCTCCGGTTAGGCGCGGCACTGGCCGAGGAGAGAGCGTTATCGGCCCGAGAAACGAATACTCTGACAGTGGCGGAACCGCTGTCGGGAGAGCAGCCGCCGAGGATGTCTTTGATGGAGTTGCTGGAGGAGCACGAAGGGCAAATGGGTGTCGCCGGAATTTACGACGTCGGATGGGAAGAAGATGAGAGGGACGGCGGAGGAGCGGCGGCGGCCATGGCGGCGGAGAAGGGATGCTGTGTTTGCATGATAAGGAGCAAAGGGGCGGCGTTTATTCCCTGCGGTCACACCTTTTGTAGGCTGTGTTCTAGAGAATTGTGGGTTCAAAGAGGAAACTGTCCTCTCTGCAATGCCTCCATTTTAGAAATTCTTGATATTTTTTAGTTTCTTTCTTTCTTTCTTTTTTTTAATTTTGTTTTCCCTTTTGATAATTTTTTAGGGTTTTTTTTTTTGGTTTTCATTGTTTCCTCCATTGTAATGGGAATGAAGCTCTGTAAAGAAAAACACTGGAAAAAAACATATCTCTTCCTCCTAGTTCTTGAGATCCTAAAACTTTGTTTATCCGTTTAATTGAGAGTTTATATATTATTCTATTTAGAATTTCATTTGGAAAAAACACATATACTTGAATCCAAAAATGATTATTAATTCCATAAATTTCATTTAATTGGCAGTTTCAAACAAAACCCAAAATGCGAAATGTTGGGACATTTTAGGTAAAGACAATAACCTAACTTAGCTTCACAAGTTTAACTAACACCCCCTGACTGTTTGGAACTCCAACTTTGGTTAGGCATACCAAATACAGTTATCAAACAAGCTCCATAAAAATATTCTTGTTCCAAAATAATATTCTCCTCATAAATTACAAAATGAAATTCAATTCATTCATATGCGATTAAGTTAGGAAATTGTCAAATCCATGTTGATGAACAATCAATAAGTATCAAATTATTGAATTTCGGTCTAATCGGTTAGGCATAAAATGATTGTTATGATTAGATACGTCATACGTGACATATGTAGAATATTTTAATTTGGTTCGTATTCAAATGGAAAATAATTAATATCCGGACTGACCTAATCACTATTATATTTGTTATTGCACTGACATTAATCATTATTAATTATATGATTTTAATATCCTTGTTGCGGTCAAGTTTGGATAACCGTCCGGTTTGGTTAACCAAACAGTTACCGTTCGGTTAAGCAATCGCGTGTCAAAGAAGGCCTGATTAGTGATTACCCAATCAAGGCCCAAAATATATAATATTGGGCTTTGACCGTTTGGTTCGTGAAAAAAAAAACAAAAAAGAAAAAAAAACGGAAGAGTGGGAAGACGTGAGAAACCAGATCTAACAGGTCCATCTTCCATTCTCGAAGAACTGGGAGGAAGCAGACAGAATCATAAACCCTAGCAATCCAAGTTTCTTCCATTTGGAAGACTGAATCGAAGAGGGGACGAGAAGAGGATCAAAGCTTCGAAGATGAACGTTTTCAGATTAGCAGGTGATATGACTCACCTGGCTAGTGTTCTGGTTTTGCTCCTTAAGATCCACACCATAAAATCCTGCGCTGGTACGTGCATTTCTCTCATCTCTATTGAAATTTATCTTAATCTTTTGTCGTAATTCTGATTGCAAGTAGTTTTTGGTTGTTTCGATCCGTTTTCCTGTGATTGTTCTGTTTCTGATCGTGTTTGTCTCGCTTCTATCTGAGTTTTCTTCTTGCTTGAAACTTGATATTGTTTAAATTTATTCACACTCAATCCTGTTCTGTCCTCGTGAAAATAGAAATCGGATATCTAATTAGAAAAAGAGTCTTATTCTGTTCTACATAGCCGTTACTATAGTTTCTGAGCTACTTCAATCGAAGAAATGTTACACATTGGGATAAATCGATGGAATTTTGATCAAGGGATCCTGGGCGAATGTGGAATTCGATGTTCTCCGTGGTGTTTCATTGATGGGTGCGTTCGAGTTTTTTTATTTTCCCTGCCCCGAGCTAAAAAGACATGCATTTTGTGGAAAATTCCATGCTTTTACTTATGCAGGCGTCTCATTGAAGACTCAGGAGCTCTATGCCCTTGTCTTTGCTGCCCGCTATTTGGATATCTTTACAAGTTACGTGTCCCTTTACAACACCCTTATGAAGTTGATATTCTTAGGAAGCTCTTTTTCGATAGTTTGGTACATAAGGTATCATAAGGCTGTCCAAAGGACTTATGACAGGGAACAAGATACATTTCGCCATTGGTTCCTTGTGCTTCCTTGCCTACTCTTGGCTCTCCTGATACACGAGAAGTTTACCTTTATGGAGGTTTGTCTCTGTCCAAAATAAGTGCAATTTACCTTCCAGTACGTTTTATTTGTAGTCTCCAGAATCCAGATACAGGACCTCTTGTGTTTTGATGGGCTAGTTTCCTTTGTGCTATTTGTTTTTGCGTTGCAATATCAGGTGCTGTGGACTTTCTCAATATACTTGGAGGCTGTTGCCATACTTCCTCAGCTCGTACTGCTCCAGAGGACCAGAAATATCGACAACTTGACAGGACAGTACATATTCCTCCTGGGGTATGGTTTCTCTTATGGCTTCCTGTCATTTGGAAAACTGCACAATCTTTTCCTTTCCTTTCCTTGAACTTTTCTTGATTGGAATCTTGATTCCATTTCAAATGCTTTACCCTCGTTTGCTTTCTCGGCCATCTCAGCAATATGGATTCCATATAGTATATACTATGTGTTGTCATATTTGTTTACTGTGTTACTTGTCTTTTCTTGAATGATCTTATGCCCGAGGGTTTCTTTGTATCATTAATCGCGCCTCAGACAAATTATCTGCTGTTCATTTCTAGTGAAACATGTTTCGAACAATTTGACATCAAATGGATTTCTGCAGCATGTATACTATTCTTCCATTAAGCTGCCTTTTTTCTTGCTCATTTTGGCTTCAGAACTTACAAATTGTGTCCTCTTGATGCAGGGCATACCGTGCTCTGTATATCCTCAACTGGATCTACCGTTACTTCACTGAACCACACTTTGTTCACTGGATAAGTATGATTCTCTCCCTTCCTCACCTTTCAACACATAGCATGAGCATCTGTTTCTATATATACGAATCACACTACATACGGTCAATTTGTGCACATGTGACTGCATGGTATTGTCAATGCCATTTTTTCAGTTCTTCTGATGAATGCCTTGACTTGGTGCACAACACCATTAATGTTTAACATTTAGCTTGAGTTGTCAAGTGGTGGCCATCAATGCCACATTAAGATCGGAAATGACCATTTTGCCTAGCGGTATGGAGAAAAAGAAATGGCTTCTCTTGTACCCTACAGAAGAAAACCTAAACCCTGTTGTACCAATTAGAAAGCCCCAAATTCATTACCGCCCCTCACTACTACTTGCATATTTCTTTATACGAATTTGTGGGCACTCTCTATATGCGTTCATTCTATTTGCATATTTCGTCGTATGAATTCGTGGGCACTCTATATTTGCACGTCTTTCATTTCGCTGAACTCATTTGAACAGCCCTTGTTTTGCAGCATGGATATCTGGGTTTGTTCAGACATTGCTCTACGCCGACTTTTTCTATTACTATTTCCTCAGGTAATAATCATCGTTCTTGCCCCGTTTCGTTTTTCGACAATGTAAATCATCTTACCTTGTCCTCCTTCTCGTCGCAGCTGGAAGAACAACAAGAAGCTGCAATTACCAGCATAGGGTTGATTGTCTTAGAAGTAATCAATTCGGAAACGAGGGAAAATTCGGAGATATCCTCCATGGGGGATGTGATTTGTAGAAGAGAGAATAGATGTGTTGGCTTGACTCCCATCTATTTAGCATTGGCCTTTTGAGCTGCGACTGTGCTGTGTACAAATATCATCTTGGTGATGTTTAGTGATTCGGTTAATGCAATAATCCAACCATTTACAATTTCGTCCAACTGTTCTAGTGCTACAATTAGGCTATTACATAATTATATTTCCCTTTATTTTATTTTTGGGTAATCGTCAAAAAAATCCTGTACTTTTCCCAAGTAAACGAAAAAACTCTGTACTTTTTTTTATTACCAATTAAACCCTATATTTGGTGTGATTAATTCATAAAATTCTATAATTTTTAAAAATTCACCGAAAATCTCCCGCCAACTCAAGCAAAAATGATGATGTGACAATGACCATTTCAAACCAAATTTAAATTAAATTATTTATTTAAATTAATATATATACATACAAATTCTCATATACATATATATATATTAAAAAAAAAATTATTTGTAATCAATAAAATATATATACACATAACTACAATATATATGTATAAATTATAACTAATATATATATATATTAAAATAAAAATAATTATAATTAATTATATATATATACATGATATATATTAAAATACAAATAATTATAACTAACATATATACATATAATATATATTAAAAATAATATGTATATTACAACATATACATATATTACTAATATACATATTAAAATAAAAGTAATTATAATTAACATATATATAAAATATCTATTAAAAATAATATATATATATATGCATATATATTAGTTATACATACAATATATATATATACAACTAATATACATATTAAAATAAAAATAATTACAACTAATATATATATATATATATATACAATATATATTAAAAAATAATATGTATATATATTATTTATAATATAATTTATAATATATATATATATATATATATATTGTAAATATGCATATATTTTTTATTAGTTATAAGTAATTTTATATTTAATATATATATATATATATGTATGTATGTGTGAATTTGTATGTATATATAATAATTTAATTTAAATTTTGTTTGAAATGATGATGTGGCATAATTATGATGACGTGTTCATGTCATGTCATTGCCACATCATCATTTTTATTTGAGTTGGCATTCGCAGGAGATTTTCGATGAATTTTTAAAAAGTACGGGGTTTTATGGATTAATCACACCAAGTATATGATTTAATTGGTAATAAAAAAGTACAAGGTTTTTTCGTTGACCTGGAAAAAGTACATGGTTTTTTTGGTGATTACCCCTATTTTTAAAGAGTAATCCAAATTTAAAAAAAAATTGATAAAACTTTGTTTAAAAATTCTTTATTTCTTATGCTAATAATACAATAAAATGATTAAAAATTAAACAACAACAGTTATCTTTTATACTAATTTCTTTATTTTATTTCAATATCGTACATTTGCTGCACTATAAAATATTCATTATAATTTACCAAAATTTAACATTTTAAAATTTTTAATTTATTATAGTTCTTATTTTATTTAAATTTTTAGTAAATATTAAATTATAAAAATTATATTTTTTTATAAAAAAAAAAAGTGGACCCCGACAAATTGGGGAGCATGCTCCAGTTACATACCCTCTAAAACGACTCTGAGTAGGATACTTGAATATAGGACAAGTATCATACAGTGGATGTGAGTCACATTACTCTGATGCCAAATGTGTTGAACATATTAAAATAAAAAATAATTACAACTAATTAATATATATATATTAAAAATAATATGCACATATATATATATTATTTATAATATAATTTATAATATTACAATTCTATTGATTTTGGATTTTAGGTTTCCAAATTTAATTTTTTATTAATGGAAAAACAAAACTTATATAAAAAATTGGTTTTTTCTTTCTATCTTTTTAGTTATTTGGATTTTTAGATAATTATATCCCATAATGATCGATCTTTTTTTTGGGGGTGAAGGATCGATCTTTCCATTATATATTGGTTTTGGGTTAATTGAATTTTATATATCCGAGTCTAACTATATGTAATTTTATGGATTTTCTTAAAATAAAATGGGAAAATATACAAATAGTAGGGAAGAATATTTTAACATTGGGTTGAAAAGAACAATTATATATATAAAAAAAAGTGTCAAATATATATTTATTTGATTTGGAAAAAAAAATGGAAAGTTTAAAATGCTCTCTCCCCTCACGCACATTGTCGGCTTCTCATAGAGACCCAAATAAATTATTTTTTATTACCAAAAAAATGATTTTCCTTTATTATTGATATTTGTTTAAAATTAAGGGCACTAACTAAGCCAATGAGGCGGCATTCTCCGGGCAATTTTTCTAAAATGCACTACCTGTGTCGCATCAATTACACAGGTACACCTCTAAAATAGGGACGGGAATTTTTAACAAATTGTACACTAGTTTTCAGGGTAAATTACTTAAATCTCCTTGTTTTCAAAATGTCAAAAATACCCTTAATGTTAAATTAAAAAAACGTGGGCCTTTTTTATTTGAAAGAATACTTTTGCATGCAGGTCTCGTTTCTCTCTCACCTCTCTCACTTTCTTCTCTCTCACCTCTCTCACTTTCTGTTGCATCGTTACTCTATTGTTTTAGGGTTTCTCCA